TGGCAGCAAGAAATTCAAATCGTGGCTTCCAATGGCGCGGGATCTAGCTTTTGCACTGAGATTTTATCTGTCCCTGTTATAGCATCAGGATTGCATTTCCAGTTGGTTTCTCTCAGCTTAGTTCATTCCTGGGTCGGCAGGGTACATCTCCCCTCACGTAGGACTCCTCACACGGCACCGCTCCTGGATTCTAAACTGGTAATCTCAGAGAGCCTCCGTGGCTGCTGTTATTTGTCCACCATGTTCTCCCGGAAATCCCACTATTATTACTTTCTATTCAGTACATTTTCAGTTTTCCTAATAATCTAAAATGCCCATAATTAACATGTGTTGTATCATATAACAAGGGTAAAAATCTTTTTTTGTACATCAAATACGGGAAAACAGAGGTTGTCATACTTCTCATCAATGGTGCTTTAATAGAGAACCAACACTTAACCATAGTTTGTACATGTGGTGTTTTAAGAGATGCATTCTTTCTTAAGTAGCTCCAAAACAAGAAAGGAAAACTACTGGAAAAACAGCTGAAAATTTACTTTGAGCTCACAGATTACTTTTTAATTAGTATGAAACCACTGCATCATTTTAAAGCTTTTATTCAAGTATAATATACATACACAAATATAAATATATAAGTGTGGCTTGATAAGTGATCACAAAGTGAGCATAGCCTTGTAGTCAGCATGCAGATCAGGAAGCAGGACACTGCTAGCACTTCTGAGCCCCTCTATGAGCTCTTGCAGGTGTCCTGTACCTTGGACAACATTGTCCTCTTTTTTGTAATATAGACTAATATGTCTCTGTTTTATAGAAGTGGGGTGTGTATTTGGCCAGGTGTATATCTTCTCAGGTCATTTACCTTCCTAATAGTTTACTTGTTTGCTCACTGGCTTTAAGGAGGTCTCCTTTTTAAAAATCAAAACAGGCCCCTTGTCAATGGTGTATGCTGCAAATATCTTCTGCTTACATACTAGTTTTTAAATCTATAAACCCAATTTTGTGCCAATTTTAATGTATTTCAATTCTTATATTTAAGGCTTTTTATATCCTGTTTGTGAAAGAATTCTATAATAAAATGTAATGGAAATTGTATTTTCTCCTAACAGATGTGTATCCTATCCTTATACTCATACAGCTTCTCTAACTGAACTGCTACTTGCATATGGTGTCAGCTGGAGGCCAATATACACATTTTCTGTATGACAGTGTATTTAATTCTATTCACTAAACAGTCCATTATTTAGCCTTAGCTCAGATGTGCTCCAATTTAGATTTAATCTACTTCACCATTAGTCTTCATCACAATGTTTTATCAGTGATTTCTAGTACTGTCTTACTCTACTACGTTTCATGTAAGCCTCTGAGCTATTCTCAGGTTTTCATTTTACGTTTTACAGCTACCAGTTATTTCATTTCATTGATGACAGATTTCTAAATTTTTATTCTAGAAAGTAAAGTAAGTGATTTTCAGAAGTTTCCCTTTTCTGTGCCCAGGATATGTCCTTGCCCATGCCCCTTATTTGTATACCTGTACACTTTGTTTCTCATAAAATTTTATGTACTCCTATTGGCAGGTTGATGCATTCAGGGATTGCAAGGAGAACAAGACAATACAGGACACATATATACAGAATATGTGTCACCCAAATATTTAAATACTGGAAGTGCAGGAAATCTGTCCATACACTAATACAAAGGAATCCAGCTGAGCATCTGTATCCCACAGGAGTGTCCTGCATGTGTCCAGTTGAAGACCTAGAGACCCAGACAATGGCCATGAGTCCAGCTGGAGGCCTAGTGCCCATGACAATGTCTCATGCATGTCTGTTTCACAGATCTGCAATGTGGAACCCCCAAAGACCAGTGGTGGAAGCTATAAAGTCTGTGCCCATAGGGTGAGGGTTGTGCACCAGAGCCAGGAAGCAACACTCATAGTAAGAAGCAGGGCTCCTCTGAAAAGTGCCATAGACATCCTCAGTGACAACGAGGACCTGAGCTCCTCTGATGATCAGAACAGCAGGGTTCCTATCAGGAAACCAGCATGACAAGCTTTTCCTGGAGGCTGAACAGCACACCATTTTCCCCTCTAGAGCAAGGAAGCAGTAAAGACCAGAGCTTCTTTCAAAATTTACCACAGCCTTTCTCAGTGACAGTGAGGTCCAGAAAAGCCTCTGATGATGAGAACAGCCAACCTCAGGAAAGAACCTGGACAAGCTCCTCCAGGAGAACCCACAGCAACAGGAGAATCAACAATGCCATGGAGAACCAACAATACTTAACTCTTCCTCTCCAGTTCTCCTCTTTATCTTGGCAACATCCCCAGGTGGGCCATCAATGCTCAGCACCAGGCTGACTCAGTTCAGCTGGTGTTACAAGTTGGCCGCCAGTTATCAATCCATCACACAAGTTAAAAATCATCAATGTATCATCTAGTTTGTGAAATTTTGAGGGAACAAATTAGCTATCTACTTTGGAGTTGCTGATTTGCATCAGCATTTCAAATATGCTTAACAGAGTTCTTAAGATATTAGAATCCTCAGTATGTACATTTATCCACGTTATTATAAATGGGGAGATAAAGAAAAAGGAAAAAACACACCAGTATTTTTCTTCATTCTGAAGTCTTACTGCTTGTGTCATTATACTACTTAGTGCAAAAACAGCTTTACTCATGGAAAGTCCTAGTGATGGAAAGAGTGGCAGTACTGTCACATTTCTGTAAAAAGCAATCATCAACTGTGCAATTTATAAAGATACATTTGGAACAATATTTTAAAGCAGAAAACATTCAGTAAAAGGTCAGATTTTTTTAATGGTAAAGGATTATTTCTGAACAGAAACACAGGTATCAAAAAAACATTAAGAAAAACAAAATGATTTTTGAAAATCTTGTTTAATGTTGGATAGGTAGACATTGTTTCCTTGTGGAACCTGGATTGCCAAGTAGTCATAGATGCCTTTCGCACACTATCCTGTCACTACATAGAAATCCCATAAGGTGAAAATAAATGTAAGTCTTATACTCAGCTATTTCATCACTGGAAAAATATCTGTCAAACACAATTTAAATGACAAGAGTTTTCAGAGGACTCAGTCTGGGATTGTTGGGCTCCAAGACACACGGCATGGTAGAAAGCCATGAAGGGGAACACTGCCCCCACCCAGGAAGCTGGATGCAGCGAGGAAAGGGAGGAGCCAGAGTCCAGAGCACACTTTTCTAGTCCATGCTCTTAGTGACCCACCTGTCACCAGGCCTGATCTCCTGAGAGCATGCTCAGCTATTGAGTTCATCCACTGACAAACTAACATGCATGTAGCATCATGATGTTCTAATTACCTTCTAATTATGAAAATTTGGGTGAAATTTTAGGTCTTAGTCATGATACTCTGCCTCTGGCCTTCAAATAGCTCCTGTCTATCTCATTATGCAGAAATGCATTTAGCCCCTCTGTAAGAGTTGTAAAATTCTTAACAAGCTCATCATTGATGAAAAGTCCAAGTCCAAAGTCTCTTCAGAGACTCTAAGTAAAGTCTTAGTTGTGAGCTCCTATGCAACAAACAAACAAAAAATCAAGCAAAAACATTTCCATTCCTAAACAAGATAATAGAATAATATAAGCAGAAATTAGATTAAAACATTATAGAATCCCACAGTGCAAACACTAAATCTTACATCTCTCTGTCAGCAGTTAGGGCAGATTGCGGTGAGATGTGAGCCCCAAAGCACTTGCCAGCCACACTCATGCAGCCTTGCTAAGCAGCCGCAGCCCGCATGGCCTGTCTGCTGAGGTGGCTACAGCCATTCCCTACAGTTTTCCTCAGCAGAAGTTCCATATTTTGGGTATCTAACTGTCTGTGGTCTACACCGCACTTTCAGTTCACTCTCCCAGCTCCATGCACTGCCCTATCATGGCTGCACCACCTGGCCTCTCAAGCATTCTTCTGAAATCTTACAGAAGCCTCCTGATCTCACTGCTCTTGGATTCCGCATTTTCAAAAACCTGCACTATTTGGGTGACTCCAAGATCTGCTGCCAGTTGGAGCAGAGGCCTGGCCTCTTGTCCTAGGGCCCCCCACCTGTTGGCCTGGTGTTTGAATTCTAGGAAACACTTCCCAGGCAGCCCTGAATATGCCAGGCCCTTGAGGCTTGCTTCTCAAAGCAAAGCCCTTCAGCATTATTTGTCTCTTTCTGCTCTTGAGCCCGTGCAGCTGACACCTTCTCAATTCCTCGAGCACCTTCAGTTCATCTTTCCTGTTGTCCTGAAGCAAAGCATTGTCTTCTTTTAATGCTGCTTTTTTCAGCAACCACACTTTCTCGGGTCCCAACATTTCAAGTACTCTTTGTTGCAACTGCAATTTTTTTTTATCTTAAAGAGAATAAAATCAAGCAAAATAAAATAGAATAAAGCCAATCAAAATAAATTACTGTGACCCAAAACTTCAAATCAACAGTGGTTACCATAAATGTCTCTTCTTGTCTTCAAAATTGCTGCACATCCCTTCAGACACAGTAAAAATCAAACAAAATAGAACATAATAGAACCAATAAAAACAAAACAATAAAGGACTTCAAAGCAAGATAGTAGTAAATTCAAAATGGCAGCCATAATATATCTTGATTTAAACTTCTAAACATTTCAAGTTGACATAAGCAATTCACCATTACAGCTATTTACTCTAATTTGATCATTACTCAATGTATATGTGAATTTAGCTAGGATGTTATAGATAGATATACATATGGATACAAAGATACAGATATTATGTGAATTAAAAATTTTTAAAAAGTTGTACACTTTTGGCTAAATGGTATATATGTAAATTTATCTCAGCAAAATGTCATTTTTACGGAAAAATAATGTCTTTTATATCAAAACTCTATAATACTTTGCAATTTCATAACAGGTAGAAATTTAGCAAATAGTTAAGATACTCTTAAAAATTCACTTAAATACTGTATGCATGTGAACATTTTTCTTCATGTAATATACATGCTGTTTTATTTAGTTTTACAAGTAGTTTAGTATGAATGTTTTTCCTTATGTAGTATATGACAGTTCATACAATCTTACAAGTAATTTAGTAAAGTTTTGTCTTCGTTATTTTAGTATATTGTACTAGTACCAGTATTATCATATTTTCCTCATAATTGCTTCCAAAACTAAAAATAGTTCATGAAAAAAAATGCAAAAGCTTTACTTGGTCATTCAGTTGTAAATGACCTCTAGTGTCTGCCTGGCACAGGGAGTGTGTGTGCTCTAATACTTGTTTCAGAAAGTATCCAAAGGGCCCCAGTGACACTCACACCCTCCTGTAGTTCCCTACCAAACTTATTGTAGTCTAACTGCATGGCTCACTTTAATATACAAAGTGAAGCAAAATTAACATCATGATAATTATTTGCCTAAATATTAAAATGGCCAGGGAGCACCAGTAAGACAAGCAGCTTCCAGGAGAGAATGGCCATGAGAGACACCACATCAGGACCTCAGGGAAGGAGTGGTGAGAAAGGAGCTGGCTGCTTAGGAGACCATTCCATCTCAGGCGAGCTATAATCTTTTTTTTATTTTAAGAATAAAACATACATACAAACATGGAAGTAGTATATATCAATGAAACTCCAAATAATCTTTGATACACACTTGATTTACACACTAAATAATGCTTAAATCAGGTTAAACGTACCTACCCCTTCAATCTTTTAGTGACAGTATCTTTATGATTTCTTTAAGGAGAAACATTTTAACATTTCCTGTAGAGTTGAAATCTGAAAGAAGCTGCTTGGGGATCTGTGGCATCACTGAAAGATGCCCTCAGAATCCACTGATTCTTCCTGGATTAATTGGAATTTCCCGAAAAATCTGTGTAGAAGAAAACCAATAGCTGCATATTAGGAATTAAATTATCGTGTCTCGTTGCGTGAATTTCTACACGCATCCCTATTGCCATGAGGAGGAGGTGCACCGTCTCTTTGCTGACAGTGTGACTTTAGCTTTCTCCAGCTTCTGAGCTACACTAGGGATGAGACGCTCTTTGTGGATTCTCAGGGCGAGGTTTGGGTACAGGCAGCTGGTGCTTGGGGAGCACTGTGTCGCTGCACAGAAATAGGTTCCTACGTCAGTTCCCCGGGTGGCTGTGATGTGCAGGGAGCCGTCCTGTCTTCTTTCTCCAAATCGGGTGATCAGTCTGTCCTGCTCCTTCACTTCTCCACCCGTCATTAGTCTCACCAAGAGGACTGGGCGTCCCCCAGGCTTCTGCTTGTACCACTGTAAGCTGTTTAATGTGCCTGAAGAATTGCAGTACGCAGTGAAGTTCTCTCCTTCCCAGACATGCCAGAATCGAGGAATTTGCTTTATCTGTTGTCCTCTCATTTCTGCGGGAAACACAATGAAAGCCACCATACAAAGTAGACCAGGTTCCTATTCCCTAAGCTACACTGGCACTGGTCATTTATCACGTCCATTTTTCTCCTTCCCATATTTCCTTCCTCCCCTCTTACCAAGTTCTTCTTTCAAAAAACCCAAAAACCATAAAGTCAATTTTTTGCCTGCAGATAATTTTCTACTAACTGCAATTTCTGGAAACAACCAAGGAGTCTGGAACTCACCTGAAAATTGCATCCATGAGATTAGCACTGTCACGAGTAGCATCCTAGCTCTTCCTTATTAATAAAGAGCTTCTGACTCTGACTGCTCCTCCGTGGACTGCCCTACAAAGGGTGACTTGAGCTCCAGAAAAATGATTGTAGTCTGTTTTGCAAAGGCTGTGTGTCTGTGCTGGAAAGGAAGAGAAATATAGTAGGGCGTCTTCAGTTTGAGGCTTCTGTTTTCCCCACATACTTGAAGAGGCTGTGCTTGCAGGTGCTGCCCCCTGGTGACTGCTCTTGAAAATTACTTGTTTGATCACCAATTTCCTTAAAGTTGCTTACAAATTTTGGTGGCGGGTGTATGTGTCAAGGATTGGAAAGAGTCCATTGATACTAATATTGTTCAACAAGGAACGATTTTCATTGTAAAATACACTCTTCTGTTTAAAGCTAGGGGATCAGAAAAAAATCAGAAAGTCTTACTTTCCCATTTCAGTATCACGGATCAAGCTGTGCCTGCACATGTGCTCACGCAAGGCATTGGGGTTAAATATTTCAATAAGTGAGAAGAACTCATAAGCTAATGTCCAACAGCAAATCCCCTCTAAAAGAAAATGAAAAGTACAAATTTTGCTTTGTGACATAGATTTCCGTTGAGAATTATTCAGTTAACAGCAGTCCATTATTTTCTTACTATTTTACTTGTGGGACTCAGCTGTGGGAGCACATTAATATAAAGTTATACGGAAATTATTATTCAGTAGATGTCATTTCTCCTGTGAACCTTATCTTAAAATCCTGGGACAGAGTATTTTCCTGTTCTGTATGATACGTGCTGCTGTTCTATCATGTGCTGTAAACTAGAGGCCGAGTGTCGAAATTTAGACAAAAGCTATGTGCTGTCACAGAACTCTGCCCAGGCTTATCACAGCACTTGAAGCCCTGTATTATAACTTCCTGTTAATTTGTTGACTTGGTCTCCTACACCTTGAGGGTGTACACTGTATCATTCCCAAGAATGTGCTCTCCTTTGTGGTAGTAACTAGCCGAATAAGGATTGTGACACTTGGATTAAAATTCAGATTCTCATTCATAGTGTTCATACTTAAAATCCATAATTCCAGCATATGGTTTATTGTCTTTTGGGTCCCACAGATATAACATTAGCATCTCAGAAAACTCTACTAAAAAATAATACTGCTCTTGGATACAGGATCTATGGAATTAAATTTATATGCATTTTTTTGCTAATATATCCCAAGTGCACTCCTTAGTAAGAGGCAAGCACTTAATAACAAAGTCCAATTTATTTACCAAACTGTCCTCATTAACTAATTGCACCCAATAAATTGAAGCTACTCAAAAATACTTGCTAGATGTTGTATTAAAATATATTTTTAATAAAGTATGTGAAGATTTGTACTCAGAATATCCCAAGGACCAGTTAAATAACTTCTGCTTACAATGTTCCCTTTCCTGAATCTGACCAATCACAGTTAAATATTTAACTATTTATCTTGGAAATTATATTAATTTACTGATGTTGCCCTGGGAAATTAACACAATTTGATAGCTTAAATGTCTCACAACTTGTTTTTCTGCATTACTGGAGGCCAGGAGCCTGAAATAAAGAGGTGGAGGCCAAACTGCCTCTGAGAGCTCTAGGAGAGAATCCCTCCTGGCTGCTTCTGGCTCCTGGTGGGTTCAGCCATTCTTACCCGTGACCACCTAAGTCCCATCTCTAGCTCTGTCTCTATGTGACCTCATCTCTGTGTCTGATAAAAGGACAGTTGGCATTGAGTTAAGACCCACCCTAGCTAAATGCAGCAAATGTAAGTCTCTTTTAATTTCTGATAGCAGTATTTGTGTAACCAAGGCTCTAGAAATAATTTCATCTTTTGTGCAATCAACAATTACATGCTGGTTTCTCTGCTGTGTGCTTGGCTATGTGCCAAACAAGGATGTGATAGTGAAGGAGACAGAAAATGGCAAATTAACCAGTGGGAGAAGGAAAAAAAAATTAAAAAGTGTGATTACTTTAATAAGTACTACACATAGCCAATATGATACTGCACTGAGAGTCACACTTGGAGTGAATTAGACATGGAGAGAAGACTCCCCTCTGAAGCTCTGTAACAATGGGTTAGGTATTAACTGTGTGCTGTTCAATTCTCTTTTCTGTAAGTAGCCAGCAGACTTCTCTGGATCCTGGTCTATTATCCTTCCTCCTTCCTACTTCTTATAATAACCATGTGTGGTGCATGTTTTCAGTACCTGTGTAAGACGGGTAAGGACACTGAAGCAGGTTTGTTAAGACAGCCTGTCCAAAACTGTTCCAATAATGAGTTGTCTAACACGATCTGGAAATCCAAAAGAGGGCTGCCTTCTATTTACTGTCCCACCTTCCTGCCTTAATCTGTCTGCTAATATCACATTTCCCCCTGAACAAGTGCTTTATAAAGAGAGGAAGGCTGAGATGGCACAGAACATCTCATGGCGAGAGACAGACAGTGCAGAGATGTATCTGATCTCTCTGCCTGTTCTGCTAAAGCCACTAATATTCATTCTTATGAGTGTTACCTTGGTCAGCTTATCTAGTGTTAATCACTTCCCAAAAGCTCCACCTCAGAACATCAAAGTCAGATTGAGTTTCTATCCCTATCTCACAGTGGACATTCAAATTTCACTGACTTTGCAGACTTAACAATAAAAATAAAGGAAAGACATTTATGCAAGTCACCCAATATAATAACTTCTCTATCTTAGGAATTTGCATGATGTATAAAATATTGAGAGGTTGAGAAACACAACGATAAGTGTAGTGGAATCTATTCACACCACAAAGCTCACAATGTTCCAGTTCATGGGTGATGATCATTATGTTTCTTAACTGTTAATGAGAAATAAGTGCATTGTGATGTTACATTGGGGGATTGGAGCCATAATCAGACATGGAAATTTTCCCTGAAATGGCTCATTTTTCACCATCAAGATGTCTTTCTCCTACTTCTAAAGATACTTCTATTACACAGCAAAGGGTAGAAAATTGATCCAGTTCACTTAGCAGAGAAAAACCTTCCTATATTGTGCACAAATGTCCAGGTGGATACTATTCTCCAGCCTGAATTAACCATGTATTGTGTTTGTCATCTCAAGCTCAGTCACCTTCACATCCGGCGGGGCAGCACATCAACAAGCACCCTGTGTTTCTGAGTCCTCTTCCTCATAATCAGTACAACGGGAAATTCACTGGCCTTGGTTGGGCAATGGTGACTCTCCCTGTGACAAGGCTTCACCCTAATTTAATCTAGGCACAGTAGAGGACAGCAAGTGAATGTCAAAATACTTTAGCTGGACACCAAGTGGCAATGCTCACACAACAACTACTTCAATTCTGGAGCTTCTCAAAAAGAAAAAAAGAGTTAGACCTAAGTTTTACAAGATGGTGACATTTGCATACAGCAGTAGGAAATACAGAGTGCACTGTGCAGTTGTTTGAGGGAGAACATTACAGGTAGGATGGGCAAAGGGAAAGGACAAATGTCTTGCTGTGCCATCCCACTCAGAGTGTCTCACTCTGAGTCTGCCCCACTCCTTAAACCCTCACACTTCCCAGCACACGTGTTTTACAAGGAACTCACTAAGGCAGCCATCACTGTAAACTGATTTTTTTATTTTCCTAACCCACTCATCTTTTTTGTTTTTACTTTTTTTTTTTTTTTTTTTGGTCTTTTTGAGACAGTGTCTCGCTATGCATTTCAGGCTGACCCTGAGCTCACTTTGTAGCCTAGGCTGGTCTCGAACTCCCAAGGATTCTCCTGTCTCAGCCTCCTGAGTGCTGGGATTATAGATGTGAGCCACCATGCCTGGCTAATCCACTGATCTTCTGCAATTTATACCCATGTTGGCAGAAATTTCACCATCACTGACACCCGGGTCACAGTGCGATGGTAACATTCCTTCTCTGCAGCCAAAACTGCTCCTTAGAACCTGCTCTGATGTTCCACCCTCACTGCAAATGCAAGTCAGAAATGCTCTTCAGGACTAAGGAAAGTTTGGTGTCATCTTCCAAACATTCATAATTGGGAAAATAAAACCTTCACTATAGTACTTTTATGATTAAATTATATAATAATTCTGAAGTGTGTAATACAGTGCTTCACATGTATTTTGTACAATAAATATCAATTTTCTCTTTTTGGTAAAAACCTACTGTATTATTCAGGGTTTTCCTAGAGAAAACAGATAACACAAAGACATATAGATGTAAAAGAAATGACAAGATTGGCTTACGATGGTAAACTACAGAGTTGGATAGCAAGTGTGCAGAGAGTGTCTACACAATGGAGGCCAAAGGATTCAACCCAAGGTGTGGAGTTCACCCTAGTGTCTTGTGCAAGTCACACCAGCAGGATGATGGGTCTGTGACAGAAGGCCAAAGCCTCTACAATAAATGGCTGAAGAGTCTATGCTGGAAAGCTAAAGAGTCTACACTGGAAGCCAGGGGACCAGCTCTAAACCAAAGGCAAAGAGTGGAGCTTCTCCCAAGAATGGAATGCATCTGTCCTTCCTCCTTCCCTTTTATACCTCCTGGTGATGAGCCACCCTAGGGTGGGTCTTCTACACCAGAGGGTGTAGAGTTGCTAAATCCATTTAGTTAAGCTTCCAAATTGTCTCAGATTCCCACAATCAACCAACCACTACACCCACCTTTGCTTCAGCACTCATTTTAGAGCTCACTGATGTTTTTTCTCCTCTTCTCATAGGCTTAATGAAGCAAGCTTCTAGAAAGTTTAATCACTACTTGTCTGAAGATAGCCATTCTTTCCCTGTCTTCTTATGTTATTTTCTAAATAATACACTCAGGTTGCTGAGACTCTCAAATGGACTTTCTTTTGTTTCCTGAATAAGATACTAAATGTTTTTACATGCTTGTTATCTAAAGAGTATCATATTTCTGAAGTAGCTAGGTTTTTATTCTATTTATTGTTCATTTTCTTATACATTTATATGAGCATGTGGTCTTTTTTAGAAGTAGACACTGCTAATACAGGTTTTAACCCTGTGCACTGACTTTTACCATCTTAGCAGTAATTCTTTTTTATTTCATAAAATGGCCTTTAACGTTTCCCTCTCACAGCACACTGCTGTGTAAAGTAGAAATGGCACCTAACTCCTCCAGACTGGCTGGAGGAAGGCAGCTGGCAGGTACCTGGCTGCTGTG